TGTGCCTTTGTGCTAAGGTGTCTTACTAATGCCTGTTGTCGGTTGTCTGTGTGGATCTATATGACCTTGGCTCCCTGACACATGGTTGAGTGCAGACTCGTTCAAGCATGAAGGAGGTTAACAAGATCTCGTTCATTTCTCTGTCACCCCTTTGTCTATTCTTGCTGGGTAGAAATAAAGCCTGTATTCATGAGATATATATATATATAGATATACATATATATGTGTATATGTGAGTATGATTAGTCATATGTGTATTCAGTGTTGCTTGTGCAGGAGGCTATACACGGCAGAAGCTCCTGAAAGACTTCATCGAGAAGTGCTACCAGCCACAGTCTTCGAATAATGTTGTTTTTCGGCTGCATGTGAAACTTTTCCCTCCACATGAAACAACCTGGTTCTGGCTGCTGAGCTGCTGCTGTAGTTGAGGCTCGGCTGGAAGCGGTGTTCAAGATCCGCCAGCTCAGCCGGGAGTGGAGAAAATCCTTAAAGGGATTCGAGTGGCTGACCGAGAAGGACATGATGGCACTCGGTTGGCCGGAGTGCCTGGGTTTCATCTAAATTTCTTCAGTGAGCTGCTAGACTACTCATGATAGCATGGATGTGGTGGTCATCTAAGCCAAAGCCACCATTTCTAGCACATATTTTGGTGCAAACCATAAACTCATGATTACATTAGATCTGCCATACTTAGGCCTTGTATATGTCATATTATATACCAATCCATGTACAAAGCCATGTCAATATATTTGGGTATGCTGTTTCATTGACATGTGAATGTAGGATTACTACGTTTCAATGGCAGCTGAAATACTCTGACTGTACTCGAGTTCTGCATGTGCGTTATTTCCCTGTGTGGCTGAGGAAGAAGGTGCAGGGTGCCGTAGCGCACTGCGAAAAGCACAAGCTCTACAAGAAGTGCCCGTATGAAGGTGTCAGGAAGTACCTGGTCCAGACTTCGGACAAGGTGGAGTGTCTAAGCTGCATTGTTCGTCTTCAGGCTTGTGGCTGAGTGCCGGTGCATGCATTTTTCTATTCCATCCTCAGTCACCAGGCAAGGATCCGAACGGCTTCGTGAGTTGGAGAGCATGATGGAANNNTCTATCATGCTGTATACAGCCACAACCACTCATGAGTCATTGTGCTAGGCACTTTTGATGAAAGCTTCGACATCAGCCTGGGTGTGGGAGACCTCATGTTGGAGGACGAGGACGAGAAGCCGCTGGATGGTAATGCCAAGAAGAAGAACCTTGCAGCGCTGCCGGAGATTGATGGGGACGAAAGCCTGGTCGATTACCTCTCAAAGTTCAAGCGAGCATGCTTGAGCAAAAAAACTCTCCTCCGTGACGTGGAGGATAGGCTCCGGGAGGACCAGGTGAAAGGCCATGAGCCACATGTCTGCAACATAAAATGCCATGCTTAGACTATACCTTTACATGTCTTGAAATACATATATAGATATATGTCTATAGTATACACAGCTATGCATATCATTATATAGATAGAGTACTATACATGTGCGGCATTCATGATGGTGTGTATGTATATATGTAAGTATGAAAATAAAGATGAACAGAATGTCTATGTGTTGCCCCATGACTTCATGACTTCATTGGAAGTGACTTGTCTACAATTGCCAAGGTCCGATCTCAAGCGCTTGCAGGATGAGAATGGCCACTGGTCTTGCCTTATCGTGGTCTTGTTGTTTCTTTTTGCTCATGCTGCTGGTCTTGTGCAACAAAGGTTGCTTGAATGGCCTGTACCAGAAACTCTGTGACCAAGAGCTGAAACTGAAGGATGCGTCATGTGGCAGGAATAAAGACAAATCATGTTCAGGTTGTTGGGGTCGGGGGGGGGGGGTGGCTGGGAGCATTCGGCATGATGCCTGAGGGACAAGAAGGACTTCAATGACACCACTACGCAGATCAAGGATTCGCTCCTCCGCTTCGCGAATGCTGCCAATGCCTGTAAGTCTGGAGCTAAGAAGCTCGTTTTCGACATTTTTTGATGTGTATGTCTCATGACTACATACCTGCTTCAGTTTCAGAGCTAAGCTTTGCATTCAGAGTTGCAGGGTTGAAAGCTTCGATTGTGAGTGTGCTGTTCTTGAACAACCACGTATATCATAGGATTATATCATGTTGCTGTCGATGCATGTGGCTTAATGTGACTCCACATGTGTCTTTTGCCTAGTTAGTTTATGCATGTAAGATGGTTTACTTGCACAAGTTCAAGATATGATTTCAGGCATGATACCATAAGAAAACACATACTCCAGCATCTGAGTGCATGTATATATATATATTACATCTTTACATGTCTACACATATAAAATACAATAGCTCCTATATGGACACATTGTGCAGTGCAGCATTGCAATCTTGGCTGTGGATTTGGAGTGAATGGCATTGGCTGTATTTTCGAGGTCCTACCTGCGCAAGCAAGCACCGAAGGGCAAGGCCAAGGCCAAAACTGCAGCGAAGAAAGAAGATGGTGATTTGGAGTAGAAGTTTTCTCTCTCTGTGCAGAAAGCCAGAAGAGGCCTTGCGCAACATCTCTCGGAGCATGGATGTGGATAAACATATTTCTGATATGTACCCAACCTTGGCAATTGCTGCTTCCGTGGGATTGTGCATTTTGCAGTACAGCTGTGTCTCTCAGCAGTGTCGCACGTTGCCGTGGCTGAGGAGATGCACATGAAAAGAACTCGAATAATGTGGTGCCTGGATATCTTCATCATTTAGATGTGATATGTGCATATATGCCATACACAAATCTCGGTGCACGGTCGTAGACCGGTGCCATCAAACATGCACATAAATGCATATAAATGTATACATATACATTGTGTATGTATATATAGATATAGATAGACAAATGGATAGGTAAATAAATTGATTGTGGTGTGCTTGAGTTATTGGTCGATGGATAGCAACGAAACATGTACATATTCACATATCCGTATATATATATATATATGTACTCACATGCATACTCTTCTGTCTGCAGTGTGCTCATATCTAGGGTCGAAATGTATCGCCCTACCCCAAGCCACACAGGTATGCATGCTATGACTGTTCTGATCGTATAACTTTTATTGTGGACCCATGCAATCGAGTACACATAAAGATGAGCACATCGAGTGTGAATATATGCAATCGATGCTTTAGGCACTGCATCTTGATTCATGTGTGTGTGTGTGTGCATGTATGTATCTATGTGTATGTATGTGTAT